TGTTTTGATTTTTAGATTAAAGTCATACTAAATGACCGTAATTTTCGTGGGCTTGATATTCTTTCGAAAACCAAAATTTCTGCTCAGCATTGTAATTAATTAATAAGTTAAAAAGTAGTTTTTGATATTGCAAACAAGCGCACGGAGGACAAAACTACAGGAAGTTTATTCAAGTTTGAAATAATTAGAAAATGGACACGTTACAACAGGCGAAAAAAAAAGAGTAAATTTTTTTCAACAGTAGATCTAAGTAAACAACAAAAACAATCTTTAAAAGATGGCTTCTACTTTTGCCTTCGTAACTCGAGGGTCAGGTTGTTTTCAAGATATCATATTTTATAACCCCATTTTTCGGTCAGTCATTAATTTTATCTTGGAAAATCGCAAAGCACGTCTCTCAAGCACTGAGTTGAGCGACATTTTTTCGTTTGTTAGTATAATATTTGAACAGTTGAGTGCAGGTGCAGATAATTAACAGTTCTTTCACTAACCTTACGAAATAGTTCATATTGGCGCTGAAGAACAAAGCAGAATGATATACATCATAAAAAGAACAAAGGAACAGAAAATCTGTCGATCATCAACACATGGTAACGGCTAAATTATAAAATGAATCAGCAGGCAAGCACACTACTGTTAAACTTAGCTTTTAAAACAGAATAATGTATTTACAATAAAAAGATACGTAAAGCGATAACAAGAGTTACAAGCTTCGAGGTCTCAAACATCTTGCACCCCAGTGTCAAAAGATGTTCAGTATCAAAAAGATAAACATGCGTTTGCTATCGTAGAGAGTACTACAGTAATTTCGTGTAACATATAACGCCAGTCAATTTGAGCGACTTTGGTTTTCATCGCGTTTATTTATGCAAGAGACCTGCTGAGATGCTAAATCATTGCTTTATTTTCAAGTCAGGAAAACGAATAAAATCACCAAAAGTGATAAAACCGGCCAGAAAACGCAAACTAGATTAGTAAACCTTAAATACTCGATTTCACCATAATTCTGAATCAGTTATATGTCGCGAATTTTGGTGACATAATATTAACGTTATCTGGGCTTTCATCTCTTTTCAGTGCAATTTGGGACATTTAGCAAACTTTCTATTCAAACATAATTTGAGGGGGAACGACTCTCACTGTTTAGGGCCGGTAGATACCTACAAGATTACTGCCAACATTTCCGTTATATTAGCATGTGGTTCAATTTTATCCTTTGCTTCAAACATTTTTTCTTTTGTTTGAATCTCACAATCATACCTTGCAATACCCAAAAACAAAGGAGAATAAATTTTAATCAATTATAAAATTGAACCACGACACAATCTCTCCCATAACGAAGATAACGATTTTCACTGAGAGATAACCATGCACCAAAAAAGCTGGCACTGTGATATTCGACAATTAACTGAATACCATCATAGCATGGCAATGTTTTCAGCTAAATGGTGCTAGCCTAGATTTTTCGGAAAAATCCTTTAGCCGCACGGCTGTTTATAAACATCTCAAGATCCCGTTCTTTCAACTGATTAAATTGAACAAAGGGCTATTTTGCGGGTAACCGATAAAAACGAAAATCTAGGGCGAGAAAGTAGGAGTATTTACCCAGCGGTTACCGTGAGTAAAATGGTTTCCGACACGAAAAGAAGCTTCTGCAAGCAGGGAAGGAAAACTGAAGAGTCTTTCTGCATCCTCCTTCTTGCTTGTCATGTTTGTTTGCGACCCAATTGAAACAGTTATTACTCTTTTGACAGAATGATATCGAGCACGGTAATTTTTCACCCCCTGTTAGAAAGTGCCCACTAGGCGCGAATTTCGCGTTGCTGCCGGTCGTTTAGATGAGATTCGATACAAGACCGGCTTTCGGAAGATATATTTAGCGGCTGTTTGGACAATTTCATTGAAACACGTCTCTGTGTTATAAAGGGAAAGGCTGAAACCTTACCGCCGGATCAAACGCCCTCATGATATCAAACTTGTATGAATACAATTTCAGCATATCCAGATCCATGACAAAAGCCTAGAAACAGTACATACACCGTGCTTGGCATGCCCGGGTTACAACAAAATTGGGCACGAGAGATCATGTCAGACTGTCAAAAGCAATTGGGCTATAAAGAATTATATCTGTTATGCTGCGAAACAGTTCAGGAGTTAAAACTCTTGTCAACCCGTCAGTATAGAATCTCAAAACAAGATTGTGAGGCGGGTTATCAAACAATCCGACTTCTTTACAGATGTCGTAACAAGGTTGTATTGTTATTTTTTGTCCACTGCTAGATAAATAAAGCCAAATGTTCAGTAGAAAAGAATGGGCCCATTAAAGCTGGTCAGTCACGTGGTACAAAATATTAATGCAGCTATATCAAAACAAGTGCGTCAACGATCTCCTCCCAGGCTTGCATAATCTGAATCCCAGCAAAAAAAAACTGGGAACGTTGTTTCTTTAGTTCCAGGCCAGATTGGTCTCCTACAGACATATTCAATGCATTGCAGCTTGGCAACGTGTGTACATATTCTCGTACTGAATTGAAATCACAACCTAATAGAGCTTACTCTGCGACATTCACAGAGTCATGAAAACAGTCCTGGGGCCCGTTTCTCGAAAGTCCCGATAATTAACGGGCCCCGTAAGCCGTCTCCGGTTATATTAAAGATCGAGGTTTCAAAAGTTTTGCATCTGGCATGATAAAACTATCAGTTAGTGAAACAAAATGGAGTAGTTTGCTAACCAGGAGCAGCGCTCTTATTCTTTATATTTCGATTTGAATATTTGATTTCGGGCCCGAAAAGTTACGGGGACTTTCGAGAAACGGGCCCCTAGAGTACTTTTAGGATTAGCATTTCAAAAGAAAAAAGACAGCTTTAAAAAGAACATGAATCACAATAGGCATGGTAGAATGATCTTGCCATCAGTCGCTGAGAAAAGGATTTGAAGAAGAGACCCTGCAGACAATCCCCCCCGCCTCCCCGGGCCCCGCAGATATCGATTCGGCATCTGACTCGTCCCCAGTCGTCTCTCTCCCTAGTCACCTCCTGCTCCTTGCTCCCGCCGCGCGATACGCCCGAAGACGACTGGGGACGAGTCAGACTCGGCACTTTAACTATGTATGCCCCGCCTTTGTAGCAGAATGCTTGGTGACCGGCAAAAAATCTCGCGCCACTTTTTCAACCAATCAGAAGACAAACGAAAACCCATTTGTTTTTGCATCGAGTTTTGATTGGTTCATTCGATTGTCTACGTATGTTGCGATTTACTTTTTTCACATTCGATTGATATACTGGTTGTTTACCATTTGTTTAATGGTTCAGGTTGAACGCCAGGATCGTTGAAGAAAGTTCAGCAAAAGCAGCGATTATATGGCAACAGCTTTTCAACGATCGCGATGATTGTTAAGTGAGAACGATCGCTCCAGAGGAGTTCAGTACTAAGAAGAATAGTTTCCGTACAATCGATACGGTCGTTGAAAATAAAGCATAGCTTTACGTGGGGAAACATGTGGCTTATTCACACAGAGTGGGAAAATGGCAAGGAAATTTAAGAAAAGGGAAATTCCGTGCTGGACCTGACCTACCACTCTCCTATTAATAATGTGCGCGGTCAAGGGGAGAGCGACGGGTGACGTTTTCCTCCTTCCCATCACCCCTCGTGCTCCCTTCGGTCAGGCTTCTTGCGTTCCGTCCTCCACGTGCGATGCAAGTACAGACGATGTGGGACGAGTCAAGTGCGCGACTGTCGATAATCATTTGCATAAACTGGTCAAATTTACAGAAAAATAGCCGTAAGACATGGAAGTGGTACAAAAGATGACGTGCTGCCCAACCGACCTACCCTGGGAACAAACCCTCTGGGGAGCTCTGGGTCGGGAGTTGTTATTCCTGTTTCCCCCGCCCCCTCCCCCCTCTCCCTTTAACTGGCCTTAACCGATTTACTCTAGATGACGATGAAGCATAAAAACATGAACAAGTGCTTTCGTTTGGAATATTTCCAAAGGGCCAGTAGGACCTTTTCAAGCTATTGGTCCGTTTCTCCAGGAGATTTTGGATGGAACGGCCCGAAAGGTCGCCCTCCAATTACCTTCCAACAAGTGAAATTTCAGCTTTGATTAACCAACCAAAAACAAAAACAAAATACACATTGCAATCATAATTTCTCTGGTTTATTTTACCCATTAATATTTTCTGTTGTGACGTATTTTGGAAACTTCAAGTTACTTTAATTAGAGGATTTTCGGACGCAATATAAATTGTAGTTTCGGAAGAAGAAAAATTTAAAGTAGAACGTAAAAGTAACTCTGATTTTACCATAAAAAATTTGTAAAAAATTGTTTGGAGTACAAAATAAAAAAATCCTAGAGTACAAACACATAATAAAATAATGCCCGCGCATTATGCTGTATTATAAAATGAAATACACTAATTTATATAGAAGTAGAAAACTATGTTTCCTAGATGAAAAAGAACTGACTGTCAGTTTCATTTCGGTTTTTACACTGGCGTTTGACGTTTCATTTCCAGAACCCGAGTTTTTAAAAAAAATGTTTTCGTACCAAGAAAAATAATAAATCTAAAAAATGTTGGCTTACATGTTCGTCAAATTTTTAATCTTGTGAGTAAAAATCATTTGGATTGCACGTGGTCGACACGTGGTGTCCAACGCATGCGAATAATTGTCTTGTGTCGATAAACTACATGTATATTCGCGAAGCTCATAGGATTATTTTTGTGAAAGAAATGTTAGCATGCCGAAAGTAAGGTGAAAATTGGTGAGCATTTCCTGAAGGAGAGTCCAGGATAATGCTCACCAATATTCAAGACAAATTGGAGCGTAGAAGAAGTGGAAAATACATTTTAACTTTATAAAACCTTTTTCCTACGCTTTTAGCAGATAGATTTCCTATTGTAAAACTGATTTCAACCACTTAATGAGAAAGGCAATTCTAAGAGCGGAGCTTCAAAGGATGCTGGTACTGTTTTTCTTGCCTTTGCAAGAACAATACTTTAACGTGCGTTGTTATGAACATTTAGCACACCAAGTCAGATAGGCGGGTCTTTCTTTAAAACAGTGAAAATTTCTTTTCAACCTAAAGGTTCTGGGCCCAGTTTTTGGAAACCTGGATAACGCTATCCACTGGATAAACCTCTGTCCAGTGGATAACGCAATTGGTTTCCCTAATATTTAGCCACTGTATAAATATTTATCCGGTGGATAGCGCTATCAAACGTTTCAAAAAGCGGGGCCGGGTGTACAAAACGGCGTTCACACGTCCAAAACACTGTGTAACCAAGCCTGCTAATGTCACATCCCGATGCTTATTGTCCATGGCTGGTCAGATACCACGTGATCCACGCTTGTCAGAGTGCTGTTTGTTTGCGACTGAACACCTTGCGGATCTTTGTTCTCCTGTGCCGAGAAATAGAATACTTAGTAATATAAAATCTACGAAACAGAGTGTTTATCCTAATTTTTTTTCTCTGAATTTGGAATTCAAAATACCAAATATGCAACACACAATAGGGCCTTTTAAACTCTGCCCTAGAAAAAGAAAAAGACGAAAAGATTGCATTCTCTAACACATATAATACAGGTATAAATTATTGTAACTACAAAACAACGACATTTTTGTGTTTAAGCGGAATTGTCAGGCGCCTAAAGGGTCAATGCGCGGTCTTCAAAATGTTTATATTTTCCTTTCATTTTTAAGAAAGAAAAATTACCTGAAGAATCTGAAATAAAAAGTCATCCTGTATTGTTGCTGCAGTCTGCATTCGTCCTGCTGACATGATTTGGTTTGACCAGTTTTGTGTTATATTCTGTTAAGACAAATAAGGCAGATTTTACTATAACAAGCCTTTGCACCATGACGTCATTTCACAACTACTACTACCCTGACGGTTTTGCTTTCTTGTGCATATTAGGGCTTTTGTTAGTTGAACCTCACTGAGATTACCAAATCTAAATATGAAAGAAAAAATAAAATGACTACTGGTCTTAGTAGTAAAAAGATGTGCAAATTATTGCGTATTGCACAGGGTGAGGAATCAATTGTTCCAACTGTTTTTACGCTGAACCTCCTAATCATAATTAATCAAAAACAGTACCATTTATTCCTGCCATTTTTATCGTTTATTCATTCCATTGCCTTTGTCTCCTGGTACTTCTTAGTAGTGAGAATATAAGTCACATGTACCAAACATGATTCTAGCAGCTCTATGCTGTCTTTTAAATTTTTAAATTAGCACCCCTGTCATTAATTTTAGTAGGCAGCATCCTCCACACTGGGGAGGGGGGGGGGGTACTCAACAAAGTTCGGGGGGGGGGGGGGGGGGGGGGGGGTACTCAACAAAGTTTTATACAGCAGAGGCTCTGCCCTGAGGTTTAACCCCTTGCCCTTTCATATACCATTTTTGTCAGAAAAGGCAGCCATTTCAAGTACCTTTTATTGACAAATGGAACCCCTTTGTATACCTAGTTTAGAGCTATTCATCCCTTTTAACTGCTGTAAAAGCACTGTCTTAAAAGAAATCATGAAACCAGAATGTTTTCTTGACTTTTTCAAAGCCATAAAATGCATGTCTTAGCCCTGTTGGGCCATTTTCAGGCTGACATGACAGATTTCTCACCCTTTTCATGTACTTCAACTAGTGAAATCACTACACTTTCCTGAAGACTCGAAAATGTACCCCTTTTGGGTGGAGCCTCCTCGTATCGGCAAATTGGTATTGTTTACATTTTAGGGAGTACGTGCTTCTCTCCCTGGCCTTCACACCAGCATCCTAATGTTAGTAAGACTTAGACTAAATCCTGCACTATCCACTGCAGCAGGGGTATTTTACAGATCACCGAACGGCCACTGAAAGCCAAATGACTCTGAAGTTTAGTGATTAGGGTTAGGAAGTTTCAGGTCAGCCTGCCCAGTACATATCAGTTTCCTTATAACCTTAATCACTAAACTTCAGAGTTATTCAGCATGCAGTGGCCTTGATCTGGCATTCTGCATAATACCCCTGCTGCCATTCACAATTACCTGGCTTGTTTGTGGAACTTGGGTGTATGTCCATGAAGTGGTATTATGGTCACTAGACAATGACACTGACTGGTTTAAGTTCACAGGAGGAAATGTCATTTGATGCTGTTGTGCCATCCCTATGGCAGTAACAAGATTACCTCCGTTTGTTACTTGTGCTAGTGTATGAGGTGTTGCCAACCTTAATTGTCCAGGATTGCCTTGTCGGGTAATGTTCACACCAGGAATTCTTCCCTTCTGAGCCGCTTCGTAAGGTGGTGGATTTTGCAGCAAAATAGTATGAATACTTTGCAATGTCTTGGAGCTTGCTACCTGTGAGCTATTAACACCCAGAGCAGGTTGACATTGATTAGGTGTAGTCATGACTGATGTTACGACACTTCCAGAAGGGCCTAGTGAAAGATCCTTCACAGAATCAATGCAAATTTTAGTGACACTGCTTGAGGTGTTAGCATTCCCTAAAGCATTTGGGCGATAACTGAAAATGGAATCAATCTTTGGTATTTGCTGGATTGCCATGGTATTAGGCTGTAGAGATGTAAGCTGTTGTGACCCATTGTGACAGACTTGCAGATTTTGTCCAACATAAGAAGCAGCATTTGCATCCAAAGGTGAAAGAGTAGCACCCGTGTGCAGTGCTTTTGTATCAAAAGTAGAAGAACTTGGTGCTTTGGAGATACTTAGTATGCTTCCAGGAAAGTTCAGACTGTTTGCTTTCTGGATGATTTCTTTTGGCATAACAGCTTTTCCAGGACTCTTTTTACTCTGGTTTGACTTTTTGGAACTTTTTGCTGGTTTGGGATTTGGTTTTTCTGTTGTTCTGTCTTTTGTTGCAACAGAAGCCTCTGATGCTGTCTTCGGTACAACAGCAGAATCTGAAAAGGAGAATCCAATGATATTAAGATTAAAGAACACTGCCAACTTTTCTGTTATGAAGTTGAAAAATGATCAAGTACATCAAAATAATGATAGACTAAAGGCTACTGAGCTTTATTTTGCCAATTCAGACCACGTGCTGTCCTCAAGGGAATTTGCCTTTGTTTTTCATAAATATATGCAAACAAGCAAATGACATTTGTAAGAAATGTGAGGTTTTTAAGGTAACATCACAAGGTCTGAAATGGGATAACAAAACATACACACTCTTATTAGAAGGTCTATTAATTTTTAAATGAGAAAGCTCAATGGAGCAATCACTACACGATGTAAAGACAAATGATGCGTTTGGCTAATTCTTATGTGACTTATATGTATAACATGTATGGGGAAAGAGAGGAACAACTCATTGTTGAAGACAGTAAGAGTGTATTAAAATTTAACAGTAAGTAGAATCTTCCACTCTCCCCTGCTGCAATTTATTTGCTTTTTCAAGTTAGATCATAATTTTTATTTGCGGGGGGCTAATATTCCTGCCAAATCTCACACATTATCTGTAAGTCTCACACCTGTGGAATTAAGACATTGACCTCATGCATCAAGGATAATTTCTCACTATGGCATGTCCCTGGTGTCCGCGTATCAACCGGGTTACTGTACCTTTTTGTGCTCTCTCTCAGGTTAAAACTGACCGTAAAAATGATTGGTCGAAATATTTGAAGGTATTATTTTGGTTACTCAAGTGGGGTTACAAAAACATTTGGGCCACTCCCACTTAATTCCATTCCTAAAGTTATCCACCCAGCTCTGTATACATGTTACCATTGTATGTGAACTTCACTTTTGTCAGTTTTTCTTGGTTGCTACTATTTAGACACTTGCCACACCCTTCTTGTGCCATTTTCCACTCCCCACTCCCACTCAAGAAAAGATTAAGAACTCAAGAGCTTAAACCTCTTACTCCTCCCCAGAGGTTCAAACACTATGAGCAACCATGAAAGGTTACTGCCAGCATGATTACCTTGAGTGCCTGCAGTCTCTTTTGGCTCCTGTTCTTTCTTAATTTTCCTTTCCTGAATTTCTTTGATTTTGTCCTGTTTCACTTTCTGCTGGTGGTCTCGTAGCACCTGGATCACTTTTTCAGATTGCAACAATTCCTTTCAACACAAAAACAGTCAACTATTCTAACATTTCAGACCAGTTAAAAACACAACACTCAAATGCATGGAGTATTGCAAGACATATTATCTGTTTCTACACTGTTATTTATAATAAACAGGATTAAAATTTTCTCAGTGGACTTATTCTTACAAATATTTTGAGACTGTGACATAAGAAAATTGATATGGTAGGGAGAAGTGTTTTGTCCATCATTATTAATTGACCATTGATTCAAAAATCAATGTGATTATTCCGTAATGGAATATGTTCAATCACGGTGGCTGTAGGGTACGTTGGCTCTAATTTATAGTCTGTGTACCACAAACTGGGATGTAACCATTCAATTGAGACCTCCTAATTGGCAGCACTTTCACATAGCACTATTTTTTTTTCAGCATTTTACAAAATGGAATTTGGAATTTTTGTCCAGTTTTGACTTAATAAGCCATGTCTGGAAGCAAGAAGGTTGGGGATCCCATGAGGATTTCCTACAATTTCTTACCAGTTGTTTCTGGGCCAACACTTGTTGCAGCATACTGGCATACTTCTGTTCCATCAAGCACTTTTCCTCTGCTAACTGACTTTCAACAGATTCACCTGGGATTTCCTAAACAATGATTTAACCAAAAAGAAAGATTAAGTGGCTGGCGGCAATTTAACCTATTGATGCTCATTAAATTCATTACATGTATCATAGCCTTTTCTCTTGACAAGTATTGATTAAGTCAGGAGAAAATTGATGTTGATCATTTTTGGGACTTAAAGGGTTTAATAATGACATACTACAACCAAAATATTTCAATACAAGAGACATCAAGGTTGTTTACCATTAACCATATACTGGCAAAGCTTTTGATCCACAGTTTGGGCAAATGTCAACAAAATTACGTGACATTTACAGAAAAGCAGACCTACCAGTAAGGCTGAAACTGGTATCAATGATTGGTTTGAAAGGAATAAGTGACAAATCTCCATTGGAACGTTCCGACCAGGAATACAGACTACCTTTTCAGCTGTTCTGTTTATATACCCAAAAAGATATTTTCTATATACTTTCAAACTGGATTTTCCAGAAACTTTTGGTCAATGGTTAAAAAACCAAAGGTCCAGAACAAAAATGTTGACAAAACAAAATAAGTAAGGTACACAGTCTGTATGGTGAGCACATCAGTTTGTCCACTGCTTACGTTTAACTGGCCAATGTGGAGAGGTTTTTCAGGCAGTTGGGAGGGGTGCAATTCAGTGGCTTTGCAGTTTTAGAGAAGTCACCATTGAAGAAGACTTTGAAAACAAGAGTGGAAATACAAACTGGCCGCTGGGACATGTGTGTGCATATTTTGCCAAGTGGGTAACTACTTGCTTTGGGGTACATGTACCAATAGCCTTGCAATTTTAATTAGTACTTTCACCCAATAAAAAGAGCATGTTTTTGTAACATGCAATAGTTACACGCAGGTAAACAAAATTCACCACTAAAAACACTTTCCTTTTTAATAGCCAGGATTGAAAGCAATATATTTGTACTACCACGAGAGGATTAATTATTTTCCCCTTTTTTTCAACGCATCAAATTGATCATGACAGATGTGGAAAAAAGACATTTTCATAATTCTCAATTGACAACGAAGTAATCTCATTTATGGTAATTATTTTAATGGCATTTACAAAGCGAAAGAAAAACATATGCTATCGTTAGCGATGATCACCGTATAAAGAATCTAATGCATCAGTCCGTTTTACTGTTCAAGTTCTTTCTTAACTTAACTGGTGAAAATCAAACGGTACACATGCCAGACAAATATTAAAATAAAAGTGATTGAAATGCAATTGGAATTTAAATACGTAATGCAAACTCGCCAACATTAGCAATGCGGATATTATTTCTTCATTTCTAAATTTTTAGTCCACAGTCCCAGGTCAAAAAAAACGAAGGGGAGGGATTAATCAATCCACAGTAAGATTAAGAAGTTAAACCTATTGAATGCTGCCTTTGAAATAAAGGGATAAAATGCTTACAGGATATAAAACAATGGCTATGGCAAAATTGAAATGTGCTTGACAAAGACATGTGACTTCTGTACAGAGTGACGCCTTCTAACTTAACGAAGAAATAAGCTTTATTATCGAAATTAAAATTCCCCACAAGAATAGCACACTTCACCATTGATACGCTAAGAGATCGGTAGGCCATACTTACTTCTGGACCCAGAGCTTTGCGTTTCCTTTTTTTGTTGTAATTTTGCTTGTATTTATTGTTTCGGTGCTTGCGACATAATGCAGTTCGTGATCCGACTGTAATCTCGTGGCATCCTTCGATCTGGCATTTCTTAGAGGTTTTCCGACCCTGGTCCAACACTGTAGCTTCCATCCTTCTACGATGACCCAAAGGTTAGTGAAATCTGTTGATCTGAGAGCGTTTGTGCTCGCAGTTTTCAACACGTGGTGTGAATGAATGAGAAGATCATGGCCATGTTTGAAGGCTGCACTTTCGAGGACAGCTCGCTCGTGACTGCGATGGAAATTCCTTTAAAATCGAGCAAAAACAAAAAGGGACTTCAAATTTTCACATTTAGCTGCCCGATTTAAGAACATCAAGCTAAAATCCTATTTCCACGTTCAGAGACCCGAGATTTCCAAACTTGAACTCAACAAAAGAGCTAAACTTACATGCAAATGAATGAATGAAATTGCCTCGTTTCAAACAAAACACGTTGATTAGTTTCAAAAGATTTTGTTGATTTTTCTCATGAAAATCCTTATGCATACAAAACACCCTCATCAAGTTCCTAAACAACGACAAATAACCTGAAAAAGAGTTACAAAATCGCAAGGCAAAATGTAAAATTAGGATTTTTCGAACACTGCGCGCTATTGTCACAATCGTTTCCCGCTAAAATGACAACAAATCAACCGGAAGTAAAAGTAATCATGAGAACGAGGCTACCAGATGAAGCTTCCGGTTTTAAGCCGAAGTAAAGGAATCCCCCGCAAAAAATTTTAACGAAGAAAATTACACCGCGAAAGTTTAAAGATTCTTTACTTTCCCGTGTTCCTTTACACACTAAATAGTTTCCTCTTGATCCAAAGTTCATTTTTGTAGAGTAAATGATTTTTCGCTTTTATGGTTCCATGATCACTGAAGATCACTAAACAGTAGCCTGGCACCAAGCTGCGAAGTGCGGAAAAAAGGCAAAAAACAGGGTCAAGTAGGAAAAATATCGGCGAGCGAAGCTGCCGCCCCCTTCCCCTCCCCAAACTACCTCTCGGCTCGATTCGCCCGCCGATTTTTTTTGTCGCCCACGCCGATTTTTTTCCTTTTTCCCCCAATGCGGAGCCTGGTTCGTCCCAGGCCCTCCCAGGCTAACTAAACAGGTCCAGGGGCCTGGGCTCCTGACAGGTCGATTTTTTCGTAGGCAAATGGGATTTTACTCTTTTGAAAAATGAGAGTCAGCAGCATATCCCGTAGGTGTGAGCCTGAGAGGAGTGAAACATTTTTGTGCGTTATTTGGCTCTGAAGAAAAGATAGTCATGTGCACAACTGGCAGTTCTAAAACCCGGAAAACGGGATCCTGACCCCTGGAACACCCAGATAACATGGTAATAGGTAAAGTGAAAAAGACAAATAGAAACCCTGACCCTGAATTGTAAAATGTTGAAAGTTCTTTCTGTTCTTTGGGTGTTCCGGTGTTGGTGGTTTTAAGTACATACGTGAAAAGCTGACCGGGCTTGCACTGAGTTTTGTAACGGGGCACCGGCGCTCGTAAAAGATTGAAACACTGTAAAACAGGTTTGTTTTGTCTTACTTCGAAGTTTATTCAGCCTTCATTGCACGGAAGTCTGCGGCTAACTAACTCGTCCAAGTGGGCGTTCGTGGAAATTCATTGCGTAAAGTCCAAACTTCTGGGAAAAGATAAACATTGCCACACCAGTTGTAACTCATAATGTTTATTTGCCCGCTCATCTATCGAAGAGCGTGACTAGAGCTATAAGAAATCATCTAATAGGTTCAAGCGATCACGTTGACGACACTAAACAAATTTTCGGCGCTCTAATAAGCTATACCCAAAGATTAAGAACTGCTAACGACGGTGCAACGTAGTGATCAAATAAGCAACAATGATAAATAAGGCCACTTGATTAGTTTTATGTGAACGGTCATACTTAATAACTCCGAGCATTTGCAAAAAAAGTAACGTATCATTTTAGTGCATTTTTGCATACGACAAATCTTTGGATTATATTGAGACTCTGCTTGTTTTACCTCTTTCGTCTGATTCACTTCAGTGTATATTAAAACGGACTTTCCCTTTAAAACGAAAAAAAAAAACCAGATCATACGAGAAGTTGTAAAATGCCCTATTTTTTATTGTTGTTTTTCGAACAAAACAACTAGGACTAGGACACATCTTTAAATTAGAAATTCCGCATTTTTTCCGTTAAATAGACCAGAAGTTTTCCTTGACAAAATCAGTCCATGTTAGTGTAAACTGAAAAAATAATATAATAAATGGTAAATAGCAAGCATGGACATTTTACTCTTAGGAAAAATTCAGTGCTTGGAGTAAATGAACCTTGCAAGTCAGGCATGCTGTCTAACTTGATGACGTCAATAAAGGAATTCGGGTGTGTTTCTCGTCATAAATCAAAAACGGACTTTGCGTTCTTTTGCTCAAATGAAATCCAACTTTAAAAAAATGGATTCCTCATTCCTAAAAGATTCTTAAAATTCTTAGTATCTGATTAGCCTGCGTGGCAGGTGTTCGAAAGGGAAGGGGAAGGGAATTAGGGCGCGTCCAAATTCCCCCTACCCCTATCTGATTCGTGTTTTGATCTGTGAAGGAGTCCACTGTGAAAATATCAGGCCCCCATGGTATTGCCTGTTAGAGTTTTCGTTTCTTTCGCTGTAACGAATCCAAAGAAACTGAGGAGATCATGCAATAACTGACTAAATAATCTTAAATTCTTTCAAAAAGGGTCAGACGCACACGCACTGATATTTCCTCTAGTTCAATGGGTTGGCCTTTTATTCGGAATGAGGCACAGTCTATTCAGGGCATCTCTTTAAAATGTGACTTATCTAAGAGCACAATTTTCGGTTTGTGTTAATCAACTTCGAAGCTTTGTGAAGTAAAGGTTTATAGCATAAGACTTTGCAGGTTTTTATCGCCGAGCTAATTCCTGAAAGAGTTGTAGGCATTGTCTCACTAATATAGTTTTCTGGTAAGCTCCAAAGTTGAATCCAAAACTTAATGTCATTACGTGTAAAAATCACGATATCTACAGATAAACTTAATCTGCCTGTGATGACAATATTTGGGCATTGGTTATTTTCTAAATATACATGCGAGTTTCGATATCGCCAGTGAGTATCTTCTTGCTCCCTGAGGTATCGAAATAATCTTCATCGGAAAAACTGAGCGTCCCAGATTTCTAAGCCGTACGAGTATTTTATTCTTTTTTTAAATATACTTTACTACTTAGTCTTTACAAGTAGCAAATGTTTTTTAGCGTCTTTATAAACTGCAATACAATAAGATTTATGATCTAGATTTGCTTTCATCGGTGTAAAGTTGCCAATGCATGAAAAAAGCAGGCCGCCTAACTTAAACTATGGCGAACGCCATTTTCTGATGGGTAAATTCAAGACAGTACAGTAAATAATATTCATCCCTTCTTCTATCGAGCAAGTATTTTGGACAGAAAAGAAATTAGTTACCACAATCTCCATTAATATCAAATTGCATTACAGAAATTTATAAGCCACGGCCATGACTCTTCCGCTTATTTAATTTATGTCAAGGGTTTGGCATGACGTCATTTGAATACACCTTACCATTGTATGCTGTTGTATTAAAAAACTTTAGGGACGTGGCACTTATGACAAAAGCGTGACTGAATGCTTATTTCACAGAAAGTAGCAACACCTAAATTACGGTAACCTTCGATCAGGCGTGTTTTCTTTTTTTTTTTGTTATATGGATGGTATGATCTCAAGCTACCGAAAAGGCATGAAAAGACTGAGCTAGTGTTTTACGACACATTGAATTTCAAGGTCCCCAGGGCATGAGTAACGTAACTGTTAAAACAGTTAAGTGAGTTAACATGAGTGGCAAGGGTTTATTACTATTGTTGTTATTGTTTGTGAATTTTTTTCTAAAGCACATGAAACGTGGCTGCGGTTTATTTCGGCATCATGGTTATTTTGAGAACGGAGCCAGCTCTGCAACCAGGACTGGGATATAGATCTATTGGAAGACCATGGTTTTCCTTTGGCTAAGTTGCAAGTTGGTCCTTCGTCTTCCCAAACGCTTAGTTTAACTAGGGCGTGTGGAAAGACGACGTCATACCAAAAGAATGGGAAGAAGGACCACAAGATCGATCGCAGGTTAATGCGGATATATGGACGCACGCGCGATCTGATGTAAAATTGTGAAGCTTCTCAGTAAAACGGATTTTACCGCAGAGAAATTCTTTTATTGGAACCGAGATTCACATCGAATAAATCCAAATACGTTTAATTCCTTTTTCAGTTAGCAAATTCGAGTAAACTCAATTCGAATGAAAAATTTCTCATTTGGAAGACGCGAATCCTTGTGGATCGGGATCGTGAGATTGCGCTGTACCACCTGTGCAGCGCTCATCGGAGAGTCATCACTGCTGCTGACTCGGTTTTACACTTTTTTTGTTTATTTTGTTATTATGTACTCGGAAGCATAACAATTAGACTAAGTCAAGCAATTGCAAAGGCTGCTTAAAGGAAGTATCAGTTCAAATCGTGAAAACAGTTTTATAAATAAAAAAAGTTAAAAATAATCACGTATCAGGTTTGCAACAACTATCCAACTTCTCTGAAACGGATTGCTACGAGTACGTTGAAGTCCCTGATTTAAACTATCTCAGTTGTGAGACTTTACCCCTGAAATGGCACGCTAGAAGTACATTTTTCTGCACTTGAGGTTAACTATAATTTTTGGCCACCAATTGAGAACAAATCTATGATTCCAGAAAGATCGTACGCTTTTGAAGCTTACTTAATAGTTACAGGAAGTCAGTCATGGTTCAGTAAACTGGAACTTCCCAGATTTAAGGGATGTTACAAGAACATGGGGTATAGGAACTGACGCTTCAGTGGTTCGCCATAAAATACTGCTTATACGATTTTAAGAAGTGAAGAACGACTTGTCAATATAACTTTCCCATCCACGTAAAAACTGTTCATTTGCTTATGACTATCGAATTTTTCACACCCTTTTTACGTGAATACCGGTTTAAATATTGGTGATTCCTGTCTTTTTTAGAGGAACTTTGTAAGTCCCGTATAAAGGCTTATTTTTGACTTCCGTTTCCTCTTTCGAAAAAAAACAATGATCTGATCATATGGATATATTTAGATCATTAGCACAAGTTCCCTTTAAGGCAAATAAAAGGTCGCATGACTTACGTAGGAGTATCATAATAGATCGAAACAGCCTCTGACAGCTGTAGCAAACGCGGAACAATTTGAAACTTCGTCGTTATTAAGCAGTGCTTATAAACTAGTGTTTATAAAATTTCAGTATCACACAGTTG